CGCCCCTCACCTGGCACTTGCTGTCCTCCCAGGCCGAGCCCTGCAAGCCGTCACCTTAGGTCTTCCAGTAACGGAAGCACCGTGCAAGCCCCGGAGCCGGGTCCAGTCAGTCAGGAGCGCCCTACCCTCACCCCAGCTTCCCACACCAGACTCTGCGGGCCTGGGGCACTCCTAGGTCCCTGCCCTGAGTTAGCACAGAGCCCAGAAAACTGCACCACTCCAGGCAGCTGCTGCTAAAGGACCCTTTGCTGCTTGCAGGAAAGCAAAGAAAGTGCGTGTGGGCCCGAGTGGCGAGCCGGGGTCCCATCAGCTGCTGTTTTAGCTTTAGTTTAAGTTTTCTAGGAGGCCACTGAGTCTTGTGTCTCTCTCTGCCCAGCTTTTTAATCACAGGTTCTGAAGGGAGTCTGGGCTCACAGCTTGGTGTTGACTCAGCCTTGAGCAGGGGCGATGGTGGCAGCAGGCTGGCTGGTGATGTCGGTGCTGGGGCTGAGCTAGCAGGAAGCCACAGCCAGGCATGTTCCTTCTGTGAAGGGCGGGTTAGTCATTGTTCACTGACGTCCGTCCGTGTCATCACCTTGCGGTGGCGACTGAACAGTCTGTCTCATTCTAGGGTATCCATTTCTCCCACATCCTAAATAGCAGACTGTTGGCCTTTCTCCGTAATGTTTGGGCGAATGTAACAGTCACCTCTGTTATTACTGATTTTCCTGTAGATTTTACTATAAATAACTTCAGGATTCCAGGATTTGTCCATTGTGCACAATTAAGGTCCCTCAGCTGCATCCCAGCTGTAACAGTTTAGTAGGTGCTCAAGACAGTAAAGGTGTGAGGTGTGTGAGGGACCCCTGGGTTTTCAAAGAGGCATCAAGTGGGGTTGTGAATTTCTCAGCAACCTTGAGTTTCACTTTTCTTCACCTCACTTTAAAGGCAGTGAAGTGTCACATTCTCCCATTTCCATACTGGCACTGAGACGTGGTGGCCAAAAATACCGCACTGAAATACAGAGAGAGAAAGGCTAAAACGGCCTACATTCGACCTCAAGTGAGGCTGAGCCATCACTGCGGCTCTGCTCCTGGTTCTCTGGCCTGTGTGTGTATTTTCAGGGATGTGTTTGCCAGCCGCCATGGAAGGTAACCGATGGGACAAGCTCATCTGAGACCAGACTGCTCTGTTAATTTGCACCAATGGTGGCAGTGGCTTTTGGACGTCTTGTTTTCCGCTAAACCACTGGCCAGTGATGGGCAGAAGAGACTATTATAATGTGTGGCGGGCCAGCTGGTGATATTGCATTACTACCCTGTAGTACTGAGGCGAGGTTATTTTTAGCTTTCACCTGAGCAAACAGGGCTGGGTTTGTTGACCCCTTCTTAAATACACAAGCTCTGCTCCTTCCCGGAGCCACTTGGTTAGTGACTGAGGAAGGCCGCCCTCGCCAGGCCTGTCTGGGAGTTGATTGAATCTTGATCATTTCAACTTCCTCCATGCATCCTGCTCTTCTCTTTTATAATAAAGTCACTTTAAAAAACTTAAAGAGAAATGAAATCAAATCTCTCTTGATTCCAGACTCCTTTTTATGGTGCACATTTGGGCGACAGCTAATGAATGAAGAACCTTCCATGCCAGGTTAGCGGCTGTGAGCTATAAACTTTACTTCTCTGCTCCGTTTGCCTTCTCCTTAAACAACCCGCTGAGAATTGACTTCCAGCTACAGCGGGAAGCGGGGTTATAAAACTTTATTGGGTGCACATTAACTGTCTGTGTTTGAGTATTGGGATTGTCAGTTTGCTTTCTCAAACAATATAGGCATTTTGTTTTTCCTTTTAAGCACTAGGAGGAAAATGTTGAGTCATCTGCAGGTGTTTAAGTCAGGCAAAAATGTTTTTTTAGCTAGAGAACTGACTTAGTCCACTGAAGAAATCATGTCACGATTATAAGAAAGCTTAAGATGCATGCCAGGCATCTCCCAAGTTCACCACCAGGATCTCCGTGAAAATGTTAGTATTCCTGGGATTTTCTTCTTTATGGACAAAACCCTAGGCCAAGTGAAGGTGGCGTGGCCTGCTGTCCCAGAGGACAACCGCCGTTCAGCATCTGGGCCATGGAGTGGGGCTTGGGAATCCAGCAGCGGGGCTCGGCTGCTTCCCGTTAATTTTCATTTTGGTCTGAGGAGTCAGAGACTTGTTTTTCAACTAGGAAAAAAGTTTTAAAGAAAAAAAAGGTTAAGTCTGTTTTGGGAGAAGTTTTAAAATGTAGTAACTGCTTTCCACCGCAAATAGTCAGCTTGCATGTGTTAGCCCAAAATAGAATTCATGACTTTGGTCTCCTTGTTTATTTCTGCAACCACATGAGAAGGGGTCCAGTGAAAAGTGCCACTTGGTCATTCTCCTGTCAGGGGCCATCCAGCTGAGTCAGGGTGACCAAAGCATGCTGGGTTCCTACGACTGATGGTAAGCCAGGTGGCTGATCTCACATGACTCAGGCATAAAAAGTCTGTGGTACACTTTTGAAGTTATTTTGTTTTTTTTGGTTTGGGGAGGTTCTTATTGTTGTTGTTTTGCTTTGTTTTGTTTTGTTTTATTTTGTTGGATAGCAGACTCTCTCTTTATAACTGGCCTTGAACCCACTATGTGGACCAAGCTGGCCTTTAACTCCTGGCCATCTCCTGCTCCAGCCTCCCGGGTGCTGGGTTGCAGACATGTGCCACCACACCCAACTTCACTTCTGCATTTTAAAGTGAAACTTCTCACAGTGATGCTTCAGCTGTGGCTTAGTGGTGCTGAATTTCCTTGGAAGTGCTGATTATCATTAGCCCAACTTTCTGCAAATGCAACATTTTACTACTCAAAATTTACCATTATGATAGATACTTGGAGATATGAAACTGTGGATCTGAGCACTGAAGTAGGGCAAAATGTTAACGAGACACACTTTGCCCCTACATGGTTGCCTCTTACTCTGTAGATTTCTTCTAGTTACTGTCTGATTTCCATTAAGGAAAGGAATTTCTGCTAAGAAAATGTCTAACATATCATGCAAGGAGTCACATGCATAAAATTCAACGTATGTAAGCCTCACATACAGTATACCATGATTTATTGTTTTCTTTCCATTATTAACTTGCAAAGAAAGTTTCATAGATACATTTTTAAATCCTGCCATGCTAACAGGACTCATATGAAAAAAACTGGGGGGCTGGGGATTTAGCTCAGCGGCATAAGCGCCTGCCTTGCAAGCAGCCAGTCGTGAGTTCGATCCCCGGTACCGATAAAAACGAAAAAGACCAAAAAAAAAAAAAAAAAAAAAAAAACTGGGAAAGTTTTTAAAGAAACCCAAAATGAAATTCTAGATGATAGAAAACCAAGCACTGTTTGGACAGGAAAACTAAATGCTGAGAGACAGTGCTGATTCCATCCACGTTCGTTTACAGATTAATGCCACCACGATAGAAGTTTCAGCAAAAACATATGTATTTGAAATCGACTGGTAGAGGGGACTAAGTCCATTAGGTATTGATATCAACCAGCAGTTCACAGAATTCTAGCCTGGACTGGGCCAGTCCAAGTCAATAACTTCACATCATACCTTAGGTCAAAGCCAATTCCAGATCAGTCAACTATTTAAATGTTTAAAAAGTAAATAGGAGTTGGTATAGATGGCTATTTATTTAATTTGGAGATTAAGCACAAAAGGTTTAACAAAAAAACGTAAAGGAAAGGAGGGATTTTAGAACTTCTCTGTATTAAAATGTGCCATAAACAGATTCAGATACCAGGTAGAAAAGTTGAGAATAATCACCAACAAAAAATTAGGGTTACACTTATTTAAAGGTCACTTTTACAAACTGATGAATAAATTTGGTATCTTACACTACTGACTTTTGCAATCACTAACTGAAAATTCTTAATTGTATGAGAACTAATTTACAGTAGCTAACACCAATCCTATAGCTTTGGGGAATTCAAGAGCTGTTATGAGTGCTTTTCCCATGTTACTTGTTTAATGTGTGCAGGGACTTGGAGGAATGGGTGCTGGTATTATTGTTGCCTGTTAAGAAATGGTGGCTTGAATACAAAGATGGGCTTAGTAATTCACCTGAAACTTTCCCAGCGTGGATTTGTGGCAGCACAGCTAGAAATAGGAGAGCCTGGACTTGGCACCAGCAAGGTCGTCCACAGAAGCCACCCTGCTTTAACAGGAGAATCAGAAGGCCTAGCTACAAAGCGATATATTTGATCCTATTTTGTAAAAACATGCTAATATTCGTACATGTGTCTTAATTTGTGGGTCAAATTATATATAATTGTATACCAGAACAGACAGTGTTTGGATATTTTTCCTCTAGTAGGATTTGGGGTAAATGTTGTTTGAAACTTAAGACATCTACATTTTGCAAATTTTATATTATAATGCAGCCAGGGACCATTCGATGGTCCCTAAGTAAAGGTTTAAATAGTACATATTTCCAATCAGATTCCTTGACCTGCACGGATCCTATTTCAGTACAGTTTGGGAGGATCAGTCAAGGTCGGAGTTCCCGTCTCCTGGCCTAAGGTCAAGTTAGCCAGCTCAGTGTTAGAGAATCTGAAAGCCAGGAGGCATCTTCGAAATGAGTTATCTTGTGTCTCAGATAGGAAGGCTGAAGCTAGCACCAAGTTAACCCAGTTGGGGGTTCAGATGCCTGTTCCAGGAAGCCCCAGTGCCCTGCTGCCAGGCAGGTAGGACCTGGGGCTATGGATCACTGAACCTCTGGGACATCAGTTGGGAGTGGAGAGATGACTGAACCAGGCTGTTTTCAGATGTGTGCTGGAAGCCGGGTATGGGATCGGGGATGCCTTTAAGGACCCTTTGGAAGTCACTGAAGGATGCTCACTGGTTCTAAGTGGCTTCCAGCTGCAGAAGGCAGTGCACAAACCAGGCAGGAGCCACACAGCGGAAGAAATTAACCAGGAGCAACCCCAAGACAGACACTTTGAAACAGAAAATGGTTTTCTTCTTTTCAGCTCCAGGGCCCACGACCGCGGTGTCTTACATGTCTGTGAAATGCGTGGATGTCCGCAAGAATCACCACAAGGCGAAGTGGCTGATGCCATGGGGACCCAACCACTGTGACAAGATCCGACACATTGAGGAAGCCATCCCCAGGGAAATCGAGGCCAATGACATCGTGTTCTCCGTGCACATCCCGCTCCCCAACATGGAGATGAGCCCCTGGTTCCAGTTCATGCTGTTCCTCCTGCAGCTGGACATCGCCTTCAAGCTCAACAACCAGATCCGTAAGTGCGAGCCCCTCACGGTCCCCTCATGGCAGGAAAGACAGGAGTGACCCTAGTAGGAGGCTTACTGTCTACCTGATGGCTTACTGTTTCACTGTTTCCTGAGCCCTTTCTGAGGACTTGACCTGTCTTAAACCCTGCAGTCTTCCCAGCAGTCCCTGGAAGTAAGGCTTAATACTGCTTCAGTGTGCAGATAAATCACAGGGCACCAAGATCGGAAGATCAGAGAGTGATGATCCCAGGCCCTAAGTCAGGATGATCTCAGTTCCAGGGTGCTCCTTCTGCTGCATAATTGAGAGCTTCGGGAGGCTCTTCTGTTCTTCAGTGCCTTTTTTCACCTGGCTTTGTGGGAGGTCCTGGCCTTGGAAGCAGATCTACATGGAAAGGAAAGCCAGCCAGCAGTTGTTTCCCCACCAGGCCAGGTTACTTTTCCAGCCTGTTCGATAGCCCTGCAGAACCTCAAGGCACGGGACTGTGCATAACTCATAGGGAGGAGCCAGGGGGCGGATTTCTCAGCAGAGGCCTGGGGTCACCAGGGCGTAGCACTGGGAATCTGAGGTCAAAACAGAATCGGGAATGTGCAGGCCAGAGGCAAGAGCGTGGAAGGCAGCCCTAAACATCCCTGTCCATAGACCATTGCACGCTTCCCACTTCCCATGTGGACGGTACATGACTGGGTCCTTTCCACTGCGCTCAGGACTGGGAGCAGTCTGGCTGGGTGCTCGGCCTCTTGTCCGGAATGAGCAGACTGAGCAGAGATGATCTTCAGAATATGAGGTTTCCTTTTCCCCATCTGAGCCACCGTGTCAAATGGCTTGGGTGCCCCATGACTGGACCCCATAGGCACAGGTGGCAAGGCCAACCTTCAGTGCTTCCAGTCGACGCAGTGTGGCATGGCGGATGTTGTGACCAAGGAACACCAAGAGGTGAAGGGCATGTAAGGAGAGGCCTCAGTGCAGGGGACAGGAAGCTGGGACTGACAGGAATGTTGACAGGAGAGGGCCATATCAGTCAGCTTTCTGTTGCTGTGACAAAATGCCTGACACCTACACAAAGGAGGAAAGTTTTGTTTTGGCTCCCAGCTTCCAGGCTTTCAGGCCAAGGGCTTTGGTTTCCACTGCTGTTGGCTGAGGTGATGTGAAAGCTCGTGGCTGAGTGCTCTGTATGGAACAATCAACTCATGGCAGCTGGGAAGCACAGCATGAGAGAGGGCAGAGAGCTAGAAGGGAGAGAATGAGGACAGGGCACAGTCCCAGGGTCACGCTTCGGGGACCCACTGCCTTCAGCTAGTCTGCATTGCCTCGCGGTAACGAGAAGGACCTTTGGGGGCACCTTGGAGCCCACTCGTGATGGGTAGGGAGAAGTAAACAGTGAGACACTTGAGGTGAGTGTTAAAGAGGAAAAGCCTGACAAATCATGGTGGTGACAGGACAGACAGGGATAGAGTTGAGAAGTCATCAGGAGGAGAGTTCTAGAAGGAAATGGCTGGTTCGAAGGCCCAGATTCCCACTGCAGCCTGTCGCAGTCAGGTGATGCTCCCCCCCCCCCCCGCCCATCGCCCTCCTGTGGACATACTAGTTTGTTTATTGATTACAAAACACATTGAGCCTTTGACTCCTTCAAACTGTACTGAACGCCAGGCATACTTTAAGCAAGTGGCACCGACGCACAAGGTTTCACAAGATATGTTTTTGCAAGGAGTAGGGAGGGAGACGCTTGGAACACGGACACTGCAGGCCACAAACGAGACTGTGCATAGCTCATGGGGAGGACCCAGGGGGAGCGGATTTCACAGCACAGCGGGCAGCCTGTGGGAAGCTGCTGGCCAGAAACCCCAGGCCATCAGGTCCACTGTACTGCCTTGGTTGGTAGCAAGGCTGTGGCCAGCCTGTGTTCTGACAGGTGCCACTCTAGGGCCCGGGTTCCAGGGCTCACTCACAGTCAGAAGCTGCCGGTCTGTGGGGTCCTCTTCAGAGGAGCCAGAGTCTTCCTGATTTTTGTCCAGATCCAGAGGTCGGGGAGCAGAACGCTTAGGAGAACAGGCTGGGAGCCCGGAGAAGTTCTGGGGTTGACACCTTGGCACTGTGCCTTAATGACCCTGCTGTCCAGAGCAAGTGTTGTCCTCTAGCCAGCGGTTCCTCATGGGCCAAATAGAGATCACAGTTCCTAGTTGGCAAAATCATTCCGAGGAGTAAATTAGAGAAACCTCTCAAGGCATAAGTAGTATTTTAAAATGAAAGAATAAAAATAGAGAAGTTGACATAATCATCCTTCCAGTCTTACCAGGGTCCTTTTTCCCATTCTTACTGCTACATCCAGTTATCGGGTTAAGTCTTCATAAAGGAAGCTGAGCTGGAATCTGCTGTTTCTTCATGCAAAACCCTTCGGCCACTGCAAGCCGGCCGGTCGCTCTACCGCTGAGCCCAAGCCCCAGCTCCACCCGGTGGATTATTTCCTAGGGTCCTCCTCCAGCTCGTGACCTCTGTGGGCAGATTATGCATCACGTTTGTGAAGCTGTGGATGGAAACATTTCTGGACCGCCTTGTTCTGCCAAAGAGAAAAAGAGCCTAAAGCAGTGAACGGACTGAGGTGCTTGCTTCCTGCTGTGAAGCAAAGATTTCACCTTTGAATAGCATTTCCATGACGAACAACCCCGACACCCAGTTCTGGTCGTAGCTGTTCACCAATGGCTTATATTTATGAAATTGTGGCTAAGGCACCTGAACCACCAGGAGGAACTTGAGCTACTTGCCTTCCCGCAGATTCAGCCTCTGTGTGTTTGATTGCGAACACTGAGCGAGGCTTTAATGAAAGAGTAACCAGAAGTCGGTGCCTGTGGACAGGTGCACAGGTACCGCACAGCCGTCTTGATGACGATACTTAGCACTCATGACCAGTCTAGAGTTTCCTGCTTCTGCCTTCAGCAGAACACTTTTACATTTTATCACCATCCTGGATGCCTTCCTGAAGCACATAAATGAGAGCTCAGAAAAGTGGCTGGATGCATGATAAACAAACCTTATTATGTGCAGGGGCTTCCTGCTTCCCAGATTCCGTGGTAACCGTGTGACTTGAAATGCAGAGAAAGGTGAGGATAAAATAAAATTTAAAACAACAGCAAAAGCTAAAGGGAACAAAATGAAAGCTAATCCTTGTCCAGACAGTGTATAAAATGCATTTCAGATTTGAAATAACAAAGGAGATTCATATTCAGCTCTGTAGTTAAAGCTGGGAGTGCTAACACAGACTGTCAGCGTTTGGACCTGTGTGTGCTGGGTGGCTAGGATTTGAGATCCTTAGCAAACCCTTAGGAAGCTAGAATATCATTCACCATGCTGTTAGAGCTGGTCATTGTTTCATTACTTCCAAAATGTAATCAGGTCAGTGCCTGTAGGAGGAAAATGGTACCATTACAGGAAATTTATGCTAATAAAATGGTTAGGGAGGGTGCATAGTATATTAATTATTGAGAAAGAAGGTGTCCATGCATATTATGCAACGGAAAGTAATTCACATTTTTTAAAAATGCATTTTTTTTTTTTTTTAATTTTTTTTTTTTTTTGTCTTTTTCTTTTTTATCGGTACCAGGGATCAAACTCAGGACTGCCTGCTTGCAAAGCAGGCACTTATGCCACTAAGCTAAATCCCCAGCCCCCTAAAATGCATTTTAAAAGAGCCCCTACTTCTCACTGTGGAAGCACAAAGCGCTGCTGGTATTTGAGATAGGGTCCCTATCCAGCCCGAGCTGGCCCAGACCACATCCTCCTGCCTCTGCCTCCAAAGAGCTGGGATCACAGGCACGCGCTCCCTCACCTGGCTGGTCGTCCTGTGTTTACACTGAGCAGCAGCTTGAAGCATGACATTGTGACCTTTGGCTTCTGAAGCCCTAGCGCCTCCTGGGTGACACCATCCTCACAAGTGCTGGCAGAGGGGGAGTGGCATCTCAGGATGGCTGTCCCTGGGTAAGACCAAGCCCTGCTCCCCAGCATTACCTGGGGTGACCTGACTTGAAGCAAAGCAAGGATTTTTAGGAGTCAGAGAGTCTCCCAGGCTGAACACAGACCACCTAGTAATATGGGGTGGATGAAAGTTGTACATGTGCTTTAAAAACTTTTCCTTTGTGGTAGAGCTTTCCACTGAGCTGCATGCCACGTCTTCTTTTACTTTCTGTTTTAAGACAGCATCTCAGGGGCTGCGGATTTAGCTCAGCGGCATAAGCACCTGCCTTGCAAGCAGGCAGTCGTTAGTTCAATCCCCGGTACCTATATAAAAGAAAAAAGACAGCATCTCAGTAAGTCACCAAGTTACCCAGCCTGGGCTCAAACTTGTGACCCTCTTGCCTCAGCCTCCCAGAGTCCTGGGACTACAGGCGTGCACCATCATGCCCAGCTGTGTCCTCCTCTTAGGTAAAGAAGGCAGCAAGTTTGGCCTTGAGCCCCCTGGGCTGTGTACTACATACAACCCAGTGTGACTTTTTCTTGCTAATTTCACTATTATTAATGACTCAATGTCTGTAAGCAGTGAGCGATTTTTTTCTCCCAAGCTGAAGGCATTTCTCGAGACAAGAGAATTTAGAGTAAAACTATTACTCAGTCAGATCTCAAGCGAGAGTCAAGCGTCCTGTGATCGTGTCTGTGATAAATTGTTGGGTGGACACTGAGAGAAGACACACATCATCTGTTGACTGTGTAAAGCAAACTCACATTCCAAACAGCAAGAGGAGAATTTGCAGAAGGAAGAAAGTTGGGAAATCCTGTGAACAGACTTCTGGCCCATCAGCAAGCGCTGTGGTCCTTCCTTCTGTGATCCAAGGCTTTGAGATGGTCCATAAAGACGTCTTCGGGACAGAGGATTCCAACCCATCAAAGGCCGAGGTGGCCTCTGCCGCCCGATTTTCGCAGCTGGCTTTCCAAGCTCCCCGGCTGCTGGAGATCCTCCTACCCCTCCCTTCCCCTATGGAGGCTTCCCTAGATGAGGGACACCTTGTCACTGTCTTTGTT